GTTTGTCGATGATTACTCGAGATATGGGTACATTTTCCTTCTGCACCGCAAGTCTGAATGCTTTGAGAAGTTCTTGGAGTATAAGGCAGTTGTGGAGAAGCAGTTAGGAAAGTATCAAGTCATTACGATCGGATCGTGGTGGTGAATATCTCTCGAATGAATTTAGGAGCTACTTGACGGATAATGGGATTACGTCCTAGTTGACTGCGCCTGGCACGCCTCAGCAGAATGGCGTAGCAGAACGGAGGAACAAGACTCTTATGGAAAGGGTTAGGGCAATGATGAGTTATAGTAGTTCACCAGATTTGTTTTGGGGATATGCATTTGAAACATCGGTATACATTCTGAATCGAGTACCTTCTAAATCAGTACCATCTACACCATTGGAGTTGTGGTCTGGGCATAAGCCTAGTCTAAGATATCTCAGAATTTGGGGTAGCCCAACACATGTGCTAAGAACCGATACTGATAAGTTGGAACTGAGATCAGAAGTAAGGCTGTTTGTGGGATATTCTAAGGAAACGAAAGGTGGTCTATTTTATAGTCCCGAGGACCAGAAAGTAATCGTTAGCACGAATGCTAGGTTCTTGGAAGAAGACTATGTCTTAGATCACAAGCCCAGTAGTAGACATGTTCTTGAGGAGTTAAAGGGAGTGAGTACTTCAATACGAAGTGCGCTAGATGTTACACCACAAAGTACTGCAACACGTATCACTGACGTTGCACCTGAGCAGGTAGTACCTCGTCGTAGTGGGAGGGTTGTCCGGCAGCCGGAACGGTTCATGGGTCTGGGAGAGTCTTCTGAGGCCGTCCCAGACGTTCTTGAATCCGACCCATGGACATACAATGAGGCAATCCAAGATCAGGACGCAGAGTCTTGGCAAAAGGCGATGAAATCTGAAATAGAGTCAATGGACACTAATCAGGTCTGGGATCTTGTAGAGCCACCCAGTGGCGTTCGCGCCATTGGATGCAAGTGGGTCTATAAGAGAAAGAGAGGATCAGATGGGAAGGTTGAGACCTTCAAAGCTAGGCTTGTTGCGAAAGGGTACACTCAGAAAGAAGAGATCGATTATGAAGAAACCTTTTTGCCGGTAGCTATGCTCAAATCCATCAGGATTCTCTTGGTTGTGGC